AGAAATAACCATTGCTACATTTGCCAGCACGGACAGATCTCAGATACATACTTTTTAAAATGTGAAGTAAGGAGAACCAGCAGTTAGCATAATGGCTATGTCACTGGACTCCCACGTAGTCCACCAAGGTTCGGTTTGCGTCCCAGACCCGGTGGCTTAAAACTCACTCCGGGCGCCTGTGCGTGCGTGCCCAGGGTCCTGAGAGGAGAATGGAGGAGAAGGGATTGCAGCGTGACCATCCCCCCTGGGGTGTGATTTCTCGCTTTCTGTCTCTCTGTCTCTCTCTGTCTGTCTGGTGAGCGCACGCGCCCTACAGTGAAAACCTCTCAAAAAAAAAAAAAAAGTGAAGGCTGTATAGTGCAATACTGGCTTTCATTTCTTCTTTATTCATGAGCTCGTGCATACGCACGTGTGTGCACATGTGTGAGAGAGAAAGCGAGAGAGCAGAGGAAGAGACAGACTGGAGAAGAGCGCCACCCACAGGTCTGATCACTCTGAAATTCCTTCCCCAACCCTCCAGCCTACTGGACCCTGAGTACTGGAGCAGGTGCCTGCAGGTTCCAAGCTGACCACACCAGGGATGTGAACACAGTTCCCAGGCAGAATCCAGCCTCTCTTGAGCAGTGCATTATCACGGCACACAAAGCAGGCCCTGTAAACACTCACTTTGTACACTAATTCACAGGAGCTCTGGCATGGTTTTCAAGGGAAAGCCAAATAAGATTGGGACGAGGGATACAGGAAGCAAAACTATGCCAATTTTTAAAGTTTTATTTATTCATTCATTTATTTTAAAAAATTGACTAGAGAGAGACGCAAAGAGAGCGAGAGAGGGAAAGTGAGAAAGCAAACCACCAGGTCCGGGACTCGAACCATGGTTGACCATGTGGAAGTAACCACCATGCTACCTGCTGGTCCCGACAAAATTTAAATGTAAAAAAATGGACGTTTTCAGGCCAGTAGGTGGCGCGGTGGTTAGGGACGCTGCACTCCCACATGGTTGACTACATTTGAGTCCCAGACCTGGTGGCTTGCTTTCTCACTTTCCCCCTCTCTCTGGACAAGTTAAATAATAATAGTTATTATTATTATTATTATTATTATTAAGTTAAATAAAAACAATTCTTTTTAAGAAATGGATGTTTTCTAAAAGTATTCCAAAAGAAAAAAATTATTGAAGCAAAACAAAGCAGGCTGTGGCTGGCTGTAGTTTGCGGACCTCCCAGCCGCGCGCTCGGACTATTCCCACTAACTCGGATTTAAGGGGCTTCTGGGCTACCAGCCCCTGAACTAGGCACTTGGGGACAGAACTGCGACCATGGCACAATCCCGTTTATTTAGAGGATTTAGAGGAGCACTAGGTTTGCTGCAGGAGCATTTCCTGAAGAGCAGGAGGTGGTTCCACCATCCAGGAGAGAAACGGCACAGACTGGCTCTGGGGTTAGAGGAAGGCGTGAAGACAAAAACGGACCCGAGGAGTGACAGACTGGGCGGCCCGCTGTCGGGGAGAAAGCTTGGATGGTCGGAGAAATGGAGACACCGGAAGGCGACGACCTATTGACTTTCAGAGGCACGGTCTGTGTGGAGGAGAGCACTAAGCTCCAGAATTCTACCTGGCTCCTAAGGGTGGCCAGAAACGAAGGGCGCCGGTCCTGAAAGGGCCAGACACCTCCGCGGAAGTCCCGGAAAGCGCGTCCTGACTGCCACTCCCCCGCGACTGTCCTGGGACTGCGAACAGTCCTTCGCTCTGAACTGCGTGCGGAGCCCAGCGCCCAAAGCCGCGGAGGCGGCGGTCCCTGGCTCCCGCCTCTGCTGAAGATCCTGTCCCCAAATCCAGCCTCTCCACTCACCTCGACGCAGACCTGCGCTACTGCCCCAGCACCGCACGGAGCACAGGGGCAGTGGCCTGGGCGAGCACCAGTCCCGCCAGTTGGCGCGTCCCTAACCGACCCTGCGCCTCAGCTGTGACGATCTGCCCGCTCGCCAATGCCTGCGCGCACGCCGAGGCTTCGCAGCTGCAGTCGCCAGGAACGTCGCGCCTTACCTGTCCAGACTCCCGTTCGCTCGCTGCTGGCTGGTGCCCAGGCATCAGGGGACACGCCGTCCACAACCCCAAGAAGGTGAGTGCCAGGGGAAAAAGGCGCACTCTCCTCCCCTCTGGTCCACCGCTTTCTCTTTTCTCCGGTCCCGGCCGGGTACCGCAGCCCGCCGAGGCACCGCTCTCTCGCGCGCCCCCCAGAGGCAGTGGGAAGACACCTGCGAGCGCCCGCCTCGCGGCGCTGTCTCCAATTCCTTGCTTTGGGCGCTTATTATCCGCAGTTTACAGAATCAGAGACGCTAGGGGACGCGTCCAGGGCCACACAGCTCCAGAGCCGAGGGAATCAGAACACAAGTCCCGTCAGACTTGATGGAGAAAAGCCCCCACGCGGAAAATGCTTGGAAAAATGGAAACAATAAGCGCCAGCCTCGCAGGATTGTGACTGGACGGGAAGGCAAGGCGCTGAGGGACGGCTCACAGGTGGGCCGTGGCATAAACATGTAAGACGGCTATCTGTATATATTGGACTAGTATCTGAAAGGCACCCCTCCCCAAAGCCATTGTCTTCTTTTTTTAAAGAAAAAAAGCCGTTTCTCCTCTGGCCCCAATTTTCCCATCTGTCAGAAATGCCCTAGATTAGACCACGCCTGCCCCTGGCTAGCGATTCTTTCAAATGAATTCTGGCGGTCTTTTCTTCTTTTCTCCTGACCTAGCCCCCTTTGGCGGAGAGCTTTTTTAAAGTTTATTATTTTTTTCTTCAGAGAGCTAGAGCGCCCAACAGGGTCCCCACAGCGCGAATCTTCTTCCAGCCCCAGCCAGCCAGATCCTGGCACCGGGAGCTGCACCCAGAAGACCCCAGGATGCCACCACTGCAAACCCAGGGCCTCTCCATCTGCCTTCAGCATCGCACAGCGTGGTTTCCGTTGGGCCACGGAAGAAGGCTTGGCTGGGGTACTTCTACCCCTTAGAGCTTCTCTGGCTTGGACACCCTAGGAAGCAGGACTTGGGAGACCTCAGTTATCCCCTAAAACCCCAACTCCTTTCACTTTGTTTTCATTGATAAAATGCCACGAAGAACCGTCAGCTAAGTGGCTGCTCTCAGACCAAATAATCCCAACCCGGTGCATCCTTGTCATTAATTATTTTTGCTCTTCCTGAGGCGAGATGGGGGAGGGGGCAGAGGATATGGGTTGAGCATCTCCCACCAGGAGCCTGCAGAAAAGTCCTTCTCCTACTCGAGGTCGTGCAGCCACTGGGCACCAGAGTTTCTTCCCCGGACCGACCAGAAGGCGCGTCCAGGACCGTACCGGGAGGTATATCGTTTTGTGTCCACCTCCGCCGGCCTGCACGGCCACAGCTAGCTAGGCCTTGGGCCCTCCCTTCCTCATGGCCCAGCTGCTCTGCTGGCCACAAGGACTCCAGGGCTTCGAAGAGGCCGGCTCGGATCTTTATAATTCCAGGCCTGCTGCAGCCACTTACCATCTTGGGGAGTCTCTCCACTGCTTTCCTCACGTCGATTTTTCCCCACTGAAAAACAGGAGCGATGCTCTCTCCACCATGGTGGTTCGGAAGATAAAGCATGGTGGAAACCTCAGGCCTGCAATCCCCCAGCAGCAGGGAATGCAGGCAGCGCTTCGTCGAACCAGGGACCTTGGATGGCACGGGTATGCTCCGCGGTCACCCGCATTCGGTGAAGTCAGATCCACCCGGTGTGGGCGTGCAACCCAGTGACTGGCCGGTTCAGAAGGTATCTCCGAGGGCCCAGGCAGTGTCTGGGATGCACTCTGTCACCCCACTGCCTATGGCAGAAATGGGAGGGGGCATCCCATCCATTTCCAGGCAGAGAAACTGGAGAAACGAAGGCTCAAACAAGAACGGAGCCTGCCTCCAAGATCTCTTGCCCAGGGCGGTGACTGGACCGGAAGCTCCTACCCCTTTCTTAGGGCTTCAGCTTCGGGAGGAGTGGGGAGTTGGAGGCAATGCACGGTGGGGACTGGCTTTCTCTCAACAGGATTTCGGGCGAGCTGTGGGCAGGGCATTTCCTTCCACAGAGCCAGGAAACCAGGGACTTACATTGCGTTGCAATTGGGATTGAAAGCATAGTTCATTAAGTGTAAATATTACAGTATGCCATATTTTTGTTACCCTATTTTGGCAGTGTTTCTATTTTTAAATTACACCCGGGATCTAAAAAAAAAAAAATCGTTCCCAGCCTCTTGAGGTTTCTTGGAAGCCTCAAGGCTTTCTCGCCGTTCCCCTCTCACACGCACAGATATACACACGCATACACACTGGTGCACACACGCACATCCCACGCGCGCGTACACGCACATACTGTTACTCACGCTCGGCCCAACACTCTCCCTGCGGCGGAGTAATTACGGCTCTTGCCGCACGGGGATTGGCTAGCTTGTTCCTTATCGGCGCCTTGCAGCCAATGGGCAGTCGCCCAGCTGAGGCCCCGCCTCCCCCAGGCGCGGGTGGCTCCGGCCGGGGAAATGGATCACGCGGG